AAAACCCTGCCTTCTAATCCATGGGTACTTAATTTACATGTCTATTTATTTAATGATGTCTTAAAGATCTGGAGTGATTTATTCATTTTATTTCTTCAATCCTTTTCCTCTCTTCAATTGGTAACTCAGTTCTAAAATTCAAACATTATTCTTCTGCTTGACCTGCTATAGAGACTTTCAAATATACTTTTGACATATCTGTGCATTTTCAAGATTTTTTTAGTTCTTTTCAAAGGTCTTGTTTCTGCTGAACTTCTTGTTCATATCCTCAGTAACATATACTAAAATCTGTTATGGTTCTATTGCTATTGTGCATAGTCTGTAAGTCTTAGATCTTTCCCATCTCTTTTGATGGTCTACTATGGTCTCCCACAGTCAGTTCTAATGCAGCTGTAGACTTACTATTTTCTTTCTCTTTCTGGAGGAAGAAATCAGGTCTGCTGTGTTTCTTCTGCCATCTTGAATATATAAATGGCTGCACTTCCATTAGTGAGTATTGTTTGGTAAAATATACAGGTGAGGATGCTCGCAAAGTAAACGATTACTCCTGCTTATTGTAGAAATGTAACTCTACAGCATAGACTGTAACAAATGATCACATATGTCTAAGAAGGAGTAGAAGATATTTTTTGTTTGTTATTTTCTTCTTAAAACCCACATTAATGTGTTCTGATACTAGAAACACAGTAGTTGCACTATATTTTAGTGAGAAAAATAATAAAATTTGAACTAATTCCTCCCATACATATTTTTACCATATGAGCAACAATTATTGTATAATAGAACTTAATTATAATGTCATTAATTTTGAATATATTTATTATGTTTTGCAAAGTTTCCCTTAAAGATGCTGCTCTTCTGGGATATTTAACCAAAAAAAAAGGCACAAGGAAGTAAATATCTGGATGATTATAAAGAGTACCATGTTATTCAATGGAGAATTCCATTTCCTTCTATGATTATTACACACATATACACACATACTCACTCACACACACACATACTCACATACATACAGTCTGAGAAATTCTGAAGCCAAGTGAACTTCCTTTCAAGTACAACAGAACCAATTCCAGAACAACAGAATGCGCGGGGAGAGGGTTAACAGTAAAACAGGAAATGGAAACAGAGGAGCTGCATTAAGGATCACTTCAAATGACCATCAATCAAAGCAATTCAGACCCAAGAAATGCCTTTTAAGCAAAGCCAGTGAGGAGAGCCAACTGCAAACCTACCAAAAGGCTCTTGTTTTATTTTAACTCCCCCCCCCCTTTTCAATAAATTAAAATGACCAATGTCATTTTGTTTTAAAGGAACTTTAAAGTGACAGGAACTGTTATCCAAACTAAAGGCACAAGTCCACAAAGAGCTACCAAAAAGAAATAAAATAAATCTTGCTGATGCTATATTTGGAAGAAGTTGTTTGTTTTTTGTTTTGTCCTTCCCTCAGAAGTAAATATGAAAGGATTTCTTAGATCATTCGGGTGGCCCAGCTCTTATCCAGAGGTCAGGAAATTTGGTCCAATAATTTAATTACGGACTAAGTGGAACTGTGAGCATCTCTTTCTTTAAGGTGTCTACTGTCTGCAAAGTTCTTCAACGAATGCCAGCTCTATGAAGAAAGAAAACTTCAACACAGTCGAGCCCTGCCAACCATGCTTGAGGGATGCTATTTTGATTATTTCTCTGCTTTTTAAGTAGAATTCAAAGGATTTTTCAAAGAACCCTATTTTGCAGCTTTTATCCTCTAATGCAAACACCCAAACAAGGAGCCAAGACAGCCAGCCACCAAGTCTGGAAACCCAAATTCAAATGCACACAAGGAAGGAGTTTGTCAGAAAGAGGAGGAAGGAACTAGGGAAATCCTCAGAAAAGTAAGCTGGGCAGCCCAGAGAGTTACAACTCTCATTTTGTAGGAGAATGCCCTGCTGGAACTGCTTTGTGAGATCTGCCATTCACTGGAGGACGCCTAGACAAGAACCAGGAAGTGCCCTGGTCATAAAGCCACATTCCCAGTTGCAGACACAGAACAATATAATAAAAACATGGTGACATACATAATAAAGTAATATAATTACTTGCCTTTTACAGACTGGCAAGATGGCTTAGGGGATGCAGTGCTTGCCTTTCAAGATATGAAGACCTAAGTTGGAGTCATAGAACCCATAGAAAACATCAGATACAATACATGAGGGCAGTTATGTACTGGTCTTAAATCTGCTCACCTATACATGTATACACACACACACACACACACACACACACACACACACACTCATTCACATGCCCAATACACCTTTTACTAATTATTTGGAAAATTCAAATTAAAGTTTAATTAATAAAATAAATTAAAGAAAAATTAAAACCAAATATAAAATTAATGATTTTTTTCAGCTGCCCAACTGTATGTTAGCTGGGAATCTTTCCTTTACATAAACACATTTTGCAAAGTTTGACTGTAATAGTTGTCCTCTTGTTTTTTCTTTTATTCTTTGATATCTGCTGCAGTTTGGAGTTAAAATTGTTACAGGGAGCCCCCCTCCCAGAGACGAGCATTCAGATACAGTTTATAGCTAATTGAAAGTCTTTATTCCAGCTGGCTGTGTGACTGCTCTCAGGTATAGGTGGTATTCGTAGCCCTAAGTAAACAGAGCACTGGGTTTTTGAAGGCAAAACCCACATCCGAGCATATCACTTGGGCAACTGCAGTGAGGCTTCACAGGAGCAAGCAGCCTTACCGAAGCTAAAATAAGTTAGCTAAGGCATCAAGCTGGGTAGTTTTCCATGGGATCAAATTCTAGTTAAACCTGAAATGGCCTCAGCAAGAATTCAAGATCAAGGAACCGCTCTCTGCATTCTCTTGCCCTGTCACAAAATGTCCCCAAAGGCTTGCGCACAAAGGGCTTTTTCCACAGTGACATATCGGAAAGGTGGTAGAAACTTCAAGATTTGAGACCTAGCAGGAGGTTTTAGGTCCTTAAGGATAACTTGAAGGTAGACCACGGGGTCTGATTTCTGTAACCGGTTCTTTCTTTTGGGCCGCCAGCCAGCTCCCAAATCATGACACGGAGACTTACTGGTTATGGATGCTCGGCCTTGTCTTAGACTCATTTCTTGCAAGCTCTTATAACTTAACCTGTTTCTCTCCATCTACGTTTTGCCTACGGGCTTTTCACCTTGTTTCCTTCTGTGTATCTAACTCTCACTGCTTCTTGTGTCTGGCTGGCTGGTGGCTGGATGTGTCCCTCTGTTTCTCCCTCATTCTCTTCTTTCTTCTTCCCTCTTGAGCCTAGACTTCTGCTCCTACTTATTCTCTCTTCCTGCCAGCCCCACCTAACCTTTTTCTACCTAGTTATTGGTTTTTCAGATTTTTATTAGACCAATCAGATACCTTAGGCAGGCAAGGTGAAGCAGCAACACATCTTTTCATAATGAAACAAATGCAGCCCAATCAAACATAACACACCTTTACAACCTGACCAAAGGCAGCAGAAATAAATGTAACACACCTTCACACAGTTAAAGCAATATTATTCAGAATAAACAAATGTAACACATTTTGCCTAGTCAAAATAATATTTTGCAATAGATTCCTCCTTTTTCCTGTCTCTTTCACACCTATCCAAGAGGTGAATGAGGCTCTGTGCCCTGCCCTCCTTCTGTTATCACTGGGACAGTCACAGACCCAAGCCATCAGACCAACAACCTGGAAACACTAAACTATGAACTAAAATGACCTCACTTTTTAAAGTTGTTTTATCGCAATGATTAATTACAAATGATGAAAAACTGACATTACCATATTGCTAACCTTATTTCTGCTATCAATCTTGTATTAGTATTTTAATGATATTTTAAAAGCTATAACTCACTTGACTATCAGGATATGATGTACCAATTTTCTCAAAATACAAAGATTATTCCAGTTTTCCTAATATAATCTAATATATAAATCAGTAATTCCTTTAGCTCACATTACTTCTTTGAATTTTCTCATGCTACTAGGAAATGATTTATACAAATAAGAAACAGCAAATTAAATTAAATGAAATGTTGGAATTATGCTTCTTTTTTTTACTTTTAGAGACAGGATTTCTCTAAGTAGCTTTGAAGCCTGTCCTAGAGGTTGCTCTGTAGACAAGGCTGGCCTTGAACTCAAAGGGATCAGCCTGCCTCTGCCTCCCAAGTGCTGGGATCAAAGGTAAGGGCCACTGCCACCTGACTGAATTATGATTGTTATCATGGCTTTTGTTACAGGTGTTGATATTATATGCTACTTACTTTTCAAATACATTTATTTTACATTGTGATTAAATTAATACCTTATAATACTGATCTACTACTTACCACATTAAATGAGAATTTTTTTCTCTTCTGTGCTATTTAGGTCTTATTACACTATGAGAAAATAATTAATTTTATTTATTTGGCAATTTTAAGTTTTCTAAACCTTAGTATGTTAGTAAGTCTGCTGAGACTCTAGGTGTGAAAGCAATAACAAATAAAATAATGCACTTTTCTGAGTGTCAAAACATAAAATTAAAAATCAAACCAAAAAGTGAGAAAACATTAAATGTTTCATATTTCAATTGTATCTTTTAGATATTATGATAACAGGTCTGGCCTTCCTCCCAGCAAGACTGACTGTGCGTGAGTATCTCCTTCTGCCATCCCTGTTTCTCCACATTACCTCCCTAGTACCTTTGGTAAGTGTAAACTCATAAGGAGTGACACTATAAGGAGGTGGGACTTTGGTGGAGTGGGTGTGCCTTGATGGATGGAGAGTGTCACTATGAGGGGGGGACTTTGAAATCTTTTGGTTAATCTTTGCTCAGTGTCACAGTCAATGGGCTTCCTGTTGCCCGCAAGATAAAGCACTGTTAGCTACAATGCCGTGCCTGCCTGCATGCCACCATGCTCCCCACCATGATGATAATGACCTTAACCCCTGAAACTGTAAGCAAGCTACTTCAATTATATGTTATCTTTACAAGACTTACCATGGTCATGGTGTCTCTTCACGGCAATGGAAACCTGAAGACAGAGCCTATGGAGGAAAAAGATGAGGATCTTATAATCTCCTCTGAGTCATCTGTAGTTGTACACAAATGGCATCTTCTTCTGCTGTAGATCCTACAGGTCACCTGTGCCAAGGCTTCCTGGTCAAACCACCCTAAGTTCAATTCAGTACCAATTTTTTTCATTGAAATAACTGTGTTTTGTTTAATTCATCACTCTGAGCTCTTTCCCTAGCCTGCAGTTAGAAACTACCCTTAACTCATTGTGGATGATATTCTTTCTGAGGGATTATTTCCTCCCAAAGTGAAAAACTGTCTTTCTTCTAGAAAAATTGAATTATTTGGTAATTTTAAATGGTTATCTCACTAATTTCTAATTGTAAAGGTTCACTCTGGTCAAGAGAATTCTAAGCAATGAAAATATCCTATATGGGCTTTACATGTTCATTTTATAACAGGCAACACATTAACAATTTTAAAAGGACATTTTCATGTTTTCCTAGGCAAGACTGAAATTTGGGTAAATTTTACCTTAAAATTATGTTCCGTTTCCACAAAAAACAGGTAGCTTTTTTAAATATAGCAACACAAACTTGTGATAATGAACCACATTACAAGAGTCTAATCAAGAAGGATTAAAATTTACTGAACTCTAACTAGTACACAACCCAACTGTACTAGTTACTTCTCTGTTGCTGTGATAACACACCTTGAGCAAAAGCAAATGAAGCAAGAAGGATTTGTTTGAGTTTACAGCTCCAGAGGTATGAAAGGCAGAGGTTGTCAGGCAGAGAAGTCTGCAGCAACATGCAGATGTGGCAGCAGGCACAGGACAATGAGAGGTAAGGTCTTCATCTGAGAACACCAAGCACAGAGAGCTTGCCAGCAGTGACATACTTCATAAGGACTGCAACCCTAACCCTAACCTCACCAAATACCACCACCTGCCAGGGGCCAGGCATTCAAATACCTTTGCCAACGCTGGGCATTTCTTACTTGAAGCACCATGCTGACCTGAAATTCAACCAGCTTGAAGTGATTCTTTGGGTGGGAAGAGTTTTCCATTTAGCATCTAAGCACATAAGATATGCTTATGCTTCTCTTCTGTCTGCTCCAGTTGTCTTTTTTTAAACAGAATTCCTGCCTGAAATTAGATATTTTGCTTCACACTAGAATTTTACACTCACATTCCCTGGTACTTGGAATGCTTGGAATATTCCACAAGCAAAAGAATAAGCAATTCTAAATAAATAATTCACTGTGTTGCCTTCAAGGATCCAAGACCTTAATTATCTGTTTGTATGTTTGCTTGTTTGCTTGCTTCTCTGTCTGTGCTTTGGAGGCGAGCCCAATACAAACATGGGTTAACATAAACCCCTCAATTTTTTGTAAAAGGAGCTTTCTTCCTTGGATCTGAGTAACAACATATCTGGCCTCCAAAATAAACCACTCAACTGCCTCAGATATTTGGGAATGAATGCTTATCCACTAATTGGCTTCAGCTGGTTTTATTTTTCTCTCTCTCTTCATTATTTGAGCTGAGAAAGCAGCTGTTTGGCAAATGGTTGAGCCCTAAGTCACATGGCTAGTGATTTATGCACGTCAGTGTGCTAATGGATGCCTTGTAGAGCATGGTTTTGTTTATTTGATTGTTAAAGGCCAGAGTTAATGAATCATGACTTTGTTTAAACGCACAGTGAGCCCAGTCTTATGGTGGAGTCCTTCCTTAGGAAGGTTCTTCTTCATATTTGTTTCTAATCTATTATAACATGCTTGGTTTAGCATCCGGGGTGTTATGAGAAAGTAGTGAGAATCACAGATAAAGACCTATGTTTTTATGAAGTTTGATGTGTTTACATGCAAGCAGAAAGAAATGTAGAAGAGAATGTATCTTGAATTCTTTTATCCAAGCACACTTGCAGTACTTTTCATGGGTCCATTTACATAAATAATACAGGATTTCTATCATGATGGCTTCTTGGGATACTAATGGACTTGTTCCAGGTAGTAATTATTAAAGTTATATAAAGTAGTTCGCTAACAGACTGGTCAGGTCATTACAAATGCCTTTCTTCCTCTGTAATTAAAGTAAATTCTGTCTTGTTACTGATGTCTGGGGTCTGGGCCAGGTGTTTTCTTGTCCTAGGACAATTACTGAAGAATGAAATAAAGGTGCATTATTCAAAACAGCAATATTACATAGTAGAAGGGCATGCACTGTCAAGATGGAAAGGGATATACATGAGTGAAGGGACTTCATTATTGTATTTGAGCAAGTCCTCATCACTGCTTAGGGCTTCCTTTTACAATGTTCAAAGGAGGAAATGTGGCTACTGGGAGCATGATGTAAGTTGTTCTCTTAGTGGACAGAATTAGGTTATAACACCATTTCTCTATGGAGCATGCCCCTGCTCATAATCCATCTGATTTTCATCATATGCATGCCTAATAATGCATAGGCGTAAGTTTGTAAATGGAGGTTCTTCCTAGAAAGTCCAGGTATAGGACAGTTTACCTTATGGAGCATGCACTCAAAACCAGTGTAGGCCGGATCAGCCTGGTCCTGGCATTTTTGAATACATTTGAAAAGACTTTTTGTTGGTCCTTAGTGGGTAGAGAAACTGGGGGTCTTGGTTGTCAGGTGTGGTGTTTGGCAGATATTTTATTTATTGAGCTATACATTCTTCCCCACATCCCTTCCCTCCTCCCCTTCCCCTTCCAACCTATCACCTGCTCCCCATGCTCCCAGTTTACTCAGGAGATCTTGTCCATTTCCCCTTCCTAGATGAATTCATGTATGTCTCTCTTAAGGTCTTCTCTGTTACCTAGGTTCTCTGGGTTTGTGGCCTGGAGCCTGATTGTTCTTTACTTTATAGATATTATCCACCTATGAGGGAGTACATTTTACATTTGTCTTTCTGAGTCTGGGTTACCTCACTCAGGAATGCTTTTTCTAATTCTGTCCATTTGCCTGAAAATTTAAAGATGTCACTGTTTTTTATTGTTGAGTAATTCTCCATTGTGTAAATGTACCACATTTTCCTTATTCATTCTTTGGCTGAGGGGCATCAAGGTTGTTTCCAGATTGTTTCCATAGTGTGCACAGGTAAAGTCTCAGGTTGCCAAGTACATTGTTAGAAGATCTATGTGAAGAGTATGCTCAAGTAAGGGCCCTAGGATGCTAAACTAGCCCCATATGCTTGTCTGGTTCAATCTAATTAAGAACAAGATTAAGAACATGTTTCACTGCATTCCAGCAGCCATAATCACATTCAAGTAAACATAAAGGGAAAACAATGACTGAAAAAACAATATGTAAGATGAGCAACTTTACCTTCAGAGTCTGTGATATTTAAGTGCGGCTCATCTTAAAGCAGAGAAGAGATTAATGGCACCTCTTAAAGATTCTTCTCATTATGTGTCATTTCATTCTTCTTGAGCAACTCTTCTTGTCTTTAATCTTTTATGGTAGAAAATTATTTACCCAACATAACTCAGTCAAATTTTAACTAATTTAACCTCTACTGAATTATGACTTGGTGCTATCAATAACACTAGAACTCTAACAACCAGTTAGTTTAAAGGTAAAAATCAAACCCTCAGGGGAAGTAAGTACATTGTGACTGCATGGTAGTAATGTCTCTATCCACTCTGGGTACTGATGCTCCACATTACTGTTTCATTTCTGTAAAGAAATATGTAGATGGAATCCCAGTTGCCTATTCTTTGTTAAATAACTTTTGCAAAAGTCATATAACAATACTATTTCCCAGAACAATGCATGCAGTTTCCCTCCCTTTTCTTCTAGAAAGAGCTTAAGGTGTGTATTTGCCTAGAAACCATTTTTTAGTTGATTTATGCTCTTAGTATGAAATTTGTAAAATCCCATTTTATTCTTCTGCGTGTAGACATCTAGGTTTGTAACATCACTTCTTGAAGGGACTGACATTTCTCTATTGTGTGTGACCACAAATGTACAGGTTTGTTGCTGACATCTCTAACCTAAAAGTGCATGTATTAATGTCAATATGATACTATTTTTGATACAATTGGTAAACACATTGATAATGAAGTAGTTCTCAAATTTAAAAAAATCTTGTTGATTTGTATGAATACCCATAAGCCTCCCTGTCACCTCTGCTCTTGTCATTTCCCACTTCCATGCTTGGAGTGAATCTGCATGGTTTAGTAGTACGAGTAAAATCCAAGAACCCTGGGGACTGGGAATTCATGGAAAGTGTTGATAAACATAAAAAGAAGACTTGGAAGCCATCAAAGAATCATGAGAAGGGAACCTAATTATTTTACCTGATACACTGAAGGCAAAAGTGAGCCCTGGGAATACTAAAATTGTGACACTGTTACATAAGAAATACTAAGATGTTTGTAAAATTTTTGAAGACTAGAGAGATTTTCTCTGATTGATGGCATGTGTGTCAACATGCATTTTAAAATCACATATGGTAAGTCCTATGTGGTATAGGGCATAGTGTAGAATGTATATTTCCATGTATCTTTATGGACTATTTTCTTTATCTCAACCGGCCTAAAATGGAGAGTGTTCTCAGGCCAGAAAAGGCATAAGCACAATAAAATGGTTTCCAACTTACTTTGGAAAGTTTACTTAAATATTCAAGGCTTCCGTATATGAGCGCGGTATTTACATCACTTCCCCCTTCTTCTGTCCTGCCAACTCCAGGTGTGCTCTGCCCCCTGCTGCTACCACTAAAATTCATGCACTTTAATCTTTAATTATTACAGTTACATAAAGCATTTTTAACTAAAGCACATTGTAGTGCCTTCTATTCCTTTCTAGCCATTTGATTCTCCTCTTTTATCTATCCATTCAGAATGAAATTCCATCTGTGCCACAAGACTGAAGGTAGAAGAATGCAGACAGACATAAGTATAGTAGGTATGGAGGTGGCTAATGGAAAGATCAGCCTGGAGCTGGGGAGATGGTACAGTTGGTAAAATGCCTGCTGTACACGCCAGTTCTTCTGAATCCAGATGCCCAGCACCCAAGTAAAAGCAGGGCATAGTGGCACACACCTGTAGCCCAAGCCTTGGCAATGTGGGGGGAGGAGACAAAGAGAGGACGCAGGGGCATTCATGTAGCTCATTGTCTGACCAGACTAGCTGAATCAGTGAGATTAAAGTTCAGTAAGAGAATCTGTTGCAAAAGACAGAGAATGATAGACAACACCTGAAGTTATCTTCAGGTCTACACACACACACACACACACACACACACACACACACACAAATAAAGATAGATCGATATTGTTGGATGAATGATAAAGATAGATAGATAGATAGATAGATAGATAGATAGATAGATAGATAGTTGAGCAAATTCCCTTTGTAAGGAAGAGAAACCAATCACTACATGATGCTATGCAGGGTTTCTGTATTAAGGATATTGCCCTCTACTAAAATTCATGTTATTCCCAGAACCTGACTGAGAACATGAAATTATCTGGGAGATGTAAATGACTAAGTAATAAAGGATAGAAGAGTCAGCTCTGAACACATACAACTAATGTCCTTATAAACAGAAGAGCCACAAAGATGACCATTAAAAGTAGGAGGATGCCATGTGAGAAGCAGCCATTGGAGTAAGGAATCTGCAACCCAAAGAATGCATGAGCTTGCAGCCAGTCATCAGAGGCCAAAGAGGCAAAGGAGATGCCTGTTCTCAAAACATTCTGAAATAGTACGGCCCTCCAGACATCTCTGTTCCTGAATTCTAGACACCAGAATGTGGGAGAGTCTTTTTTGTTGTTACTCATATTGTAGCAAAGGTACAACAGCCAAAGGAAGCTAGTTTGTTGAGAAAGGCAGAGGATACAGATTTTCATCTAAAGCGTTTAGAGAAATGGGCAGCTCTGGTTCATCAGAAAAGACAAAAATATGAGGAGGGAATGACAAATTCCTCACAGCCACAGCTCCCATGTACACCAGATTCCTAAAGTAGGGGCACATAATCAAAGGGAATGAAACCTTACAGAGAGGAAATTAATGTGGAATGAAGGCAGAAATAACTTTCTTAAAATAAGTATCTCATAATCATAAGAAAATAGGATGTCTCTAGTATATAACTATGACAGTCAATGTAATTAATTTTTAACCTGGTTGATCAGCAAGATTTACCCATAATTAATAAGAGCTTAAGGAGACAGGTATTCTGAACTGTCACTCAAATATATCCCACAGCTGACGTTGAACCTCAAAAGCAGCTTCTTATTCATAAAACCAGTTATAAAAATCAAGTTAAGTGTTAAGAAATTTCTAAAGCAAATCGATTTTAACTGGCAACCACAGGAGTGATTGATATACTTGTGTTTTAGTCAGGATACAGACAAGTTCAACTGTTTCAGTCAATGACTGAATCTATATCCCCTGAATTTCACACTAATCATGAATAATACCATGTTTCAACAACAGTTAAGGTCATTTTCACAATCATTACCCTGAACTGAATAATAATACTAAAAATGTGAGCATTTTTAATTGTCAAGCTTACCGTTTTAACAATCATTTCAAGTCAAAGTTGTTTTCTCTATATAATTCCCAATTTGACATAAGCAGCTAAATTAGAACAATTATACTTAAGATTTCTGCTACCATGGCCCAAACAATGTTTCACTGACTTTTTGTTTAGAAAAACACATGTGAATGTGTCAGTGTCACCTTTCAAATGGTATGTATAAAACAGTTGCAAATATTGACTTTCAGGGTGTGTTTGAATTTTTGCTCACCCATTGCCTCTCCTGCACTGCCTTCAATTTTGTGGCATTATTCTATGGTTCTATGAATTAGATAGTAAGTATTTCATTAAGATGTACCAGTCCGTAAAGTATTGTGGACTTAGGTTGCAGAACTTAGGTTGCAATTCTACTGTTCAGTTCTAAGAGTCTTTATATGTACTGAATATCATTTATCAGCTTTTGAAATTGTTCTCCAAATGTATGGTTTGTGTTTTAATTTTCTTGATCTCTGTTTCACAGTACAAAAAAATTTCTTTGTGTTATTTCTGAAATGGTTGATAGATTTTTGTGATGGATAATATTCATTGTCAACTTGACACTATCTAGAATCAGCCAGAAGGCAAGTCTTTGGACATGCATGTCAGCAATTTTATTTTTCAAGTTCATTTGATTTGAGGTAGGAATACCCACCCTAAAAGAGAGCAGCGCCATTTCCTAGATTTGGATCCTGGACTATTTTCAAAGGAGGAGGGTAGTTGAGCATCAACAACAGTGTCTCTCTGTTTCCTGACTGCCGATACAGTGTAATCACATCCAGCTGCCAGGACTTCCAGACCATAATTCATGGCAACTTGAACTATTAACCAAACAAACCCTTTTTTCCCTTAACCTGCCTTGTCAGGGCATTTTGTCACACTCATTCTCTCTCTCTCTCTCTCTCTCTCTCTCTCTCTCTCTCTCTCTCTCTCTCTCTCTCTCTCTCTCTCATACACACACACACACTACTAAGAAGAATTTCTCATGCTATTTTTAAAGCATAAAAATTTTGTGTTTATAATTAGATTTATATTCATTTTGAATTTATTTTTTGTGAGGAGTAGTTGGTCTGTGAATGGATTCCCTTTATAAAAGTTTTTCAAGTGAATGTACAATTCTCAGTTAAAGAAGAATTTCTATTATTGTTTGTGACACTATTCATCTCCCATTACACTCTGGTATCCATTTCCTTTCCTATGAACCACTTCTTCCTTACCTACCTCTCGATGTCTACCATTAGTGAAATGCCTCCTTCCTCCAGAAACCCATAACAGTCACTACTAATAAAGCACTGCCTCCAGGTAGCTCCCCACTGATATAGAAAGTGAGTTTACATCAGGAATGTAAAACTAATGATCACACATGTGAGCCATAGAATCCTCTTATGAGTATTGTTCTGAATGCTTACATTTTTGTTTGTTTGTTTGTTTGTCTGTTTGTTTGTTTTGCCCAGGGTTACTATCTGTCTTAGTTATTTGTTAGTCTTTTTTTTCACCAGTATCATACTATCTTGACTACTGATATTTATAGTAATTCTTAAACTCAGGTCACCAGTTTTCCAATTTTATTCTTCTTTAATCATATATTGACTATTATAGATCGTTTGCCTCCTCAGATAAATTCTGAATTGGTTCACCAACATCCACAAAAATACTGTTCTGATATTCTTATTGTGATATCATTGAATCTATAGATCCACTTGAAAGAATTGGCATACAGATATTATTGAATCTTCATATCCATGAACATGGAAAAATCTCTCCATTTATTCATCTTCTTAGACTTGTAGCTTAAATTTTGTAGTTTTCCTCATAGATATCTTGGGTCAATTTTGCATTCAATTCTGGATACTAATACAATAGTATTGTTTTTTAAATTCCAAATGTGTCTATTCTTACCTGACATATAGGAAGATGATAATATTATATTATCATCATATGCTGTAACCTTGCTATAGTTGCCAAATCTTGACAACATGGCCATTATTAAATGACTCAAAATTCCTAGGAAAAAGAATAACCACATAGTATGCTGGCATGAGATTTTAAAGCCCGATCAACCATCCTTAAAGAAAATACTAAACTTGTCCTAAGGCTAGGCAGGTCTTTCTTAGAGCATGTAGTATAAGATAAATTGGGGAGAGAACATTGGTTACTCAAACCAGTGACCTTGCAGCCATCAGTTACAGCAGACAAGCTTGACAGCCATGATGCTGGCCCAGTGTCTGTTGGAATGAAGGAGCCAGCTTCAGCAGCAGTCACCATAGGCTAGACTGGGGCCTGAGTCAAGCTAAGCAGAGTAAGTTGCCCATGCTGAGATCACCAGCATTGGACAAAGCACAAACTCAACTTTCAGGAGTCTTCATTCCTTCTACAATAGACTTAATGGTGATTTATTGCCTTTGAGTCATCCAAGCTTCTTTAAGTAGCTTCTTACACATGTTCTGTAAACTATTCTCAATAAACTTAATGATTCTCCAAGTTGTTCTTTGGAGGGATCAACACTTTGGTTTGTCAATATCCCTATTGAGATAGAAAAGGCATTTTCACATCTTTCCAGGGAAAGTCACGCTACTAAAGATAATGACTGAATATTGTCCAAATAAAATTAGTAAGAGTGATATGCTAAATGGTCTCTCTTCAGAAACCTCATAAGCCACTTCTTAACAACAACAACAAAATGGTGCCAACAACTGTAAAAGACTAATTCAGGCAAGAATTTCTGAACCAGGAAGTACAAAAGGAAAAGAATGAAAAATATGATTGGTGTGTAGCACCCTAAAGAGCCAGTACTCATTACCTATCCAAGGAGAAAATGGAAGTGAGGCCAATGTCCCCCTACAGTATAGGACACATGCATGAAATCTTGGCCCCTATTCTTGTCACACACTAAATACTCTAAGACAAAGTCTGCACATCTTGTCCTGCCTTTGAAAGGAACAACTTAACTAATACAAATTTCATTTTCCTCGAATTTGAGCTCTAATTATTTTAACATCCTCAGTTCCTATGTCCAGGTGTTCATCAACCTAGTTCTTTGAGGGTGGCAACACTTCAGGATCTATCTTGTAGGCTAACACTAACTCCTACAAAGAGCTAAAGTTATGTGAAGTTTCAATCTGACTTGCCCTAGCCCAGCACCTCTCCACTTCTGGGATCTCAGCGAACTTTGCTAGCCCTCCAGTTCCTGCTCTGTTTGCTTTTGACAACACCAAAACATCCTTTAACAATGGCCCAAGTTTCCTTTTCTTGTTCCATTCTCTTTCTCTACAGGTCACGTCTCTAGCAGCTTCTATAGTATCTATTAGTCGTTTGTATTCAGCATCTCTTACTTACCATTCCTTTTGGTGAATTTCTTCAGCTTTATTTGACTTGCTCTTCTGTGTCTTGTTTTTCATTAATTCATCAGACGTTCACAATGGGAATGGAAATGAAAAATAAGTAATGCATCTTTTTTCCTAAACTATTTTGCAATCTAATAAACACATAAGCAGAAGTTACTATGTAATGTCTTCAGTTGAGTAGAAGCAGATGCAAGGCTTCCAGTTGTAGTCAGATAAAGAAAAAGTCCCTAAACCCAACACCATGATGAGAAAGACAAATACTGCCTAAGATGCTTGAGTAAAACTTTATAGAGGAAGCACAAAGTAAATTGGGTTTTGAGGACTGCATAAGAGTTAAAAATAAACCAGAGACACGTATTTGAAAGGAATGGTCCTTTAGGGAAAGAAGATGGGATACTGGAAGTTACAGAAGGAGCTGAATATGAGCTTGATGCTGATTTGACTAGACCCTCATACTTATAGTCTTCTACTGAGTGATTACCAGAGATCCAGCAGGATAATGGCACCAGTAACTACCTCCATTTTGCCCAGTGGAGTAGTCAAAGTGATTCTGCTAGACACCTTGGAGTTGGGTAGGCCACATGGACCCCTATTGCATACTCTCCATCTTCTCCTGGAATTTCTCAAGGTACATTTTATCCTCAAATACAAGCTGCAATAAAATGTGTTAACACACTTACCTTTTGCAAAGATTAAATGGATTATCGTAATTGCCAGGCATTAAGGAGATTTTTTAAGCTTGTGTTTTGAGATGCTCACAGCAGCCCTTGAGGGCAGCTTACAAAATGAATTAGAGGAAGTCACTTGGAAACATCCTTAACTGCTTTCAGAAACAAGAGAGCTGAACTCCTCTTTTGCAGCCAATTCCCCTCTTTTGCAGCCACATACACACACCCAAATGAAGGTTTACTAACACTCCTGCTTCTGAGAACACTATCTGCTGTGAATGGTGCCAAGAGCTGAAAGCTTCAAGCCAGCCCCCACACTGTGAGAACACAGCTCTCTCCCAGGGTCCTCCCAGATGCTCATTAAAATACATTGAGTGACCCCACAAGGATGTGTTGTTTGGGCCAAGATCATAGCTTTTGCAGAGAAAAGAATTTCAACTTGGTGTGGGAAGACAGACAAAGTGGAACACCATGGCAACAAGGTCAGATGGGTGGAATCTGACTGGTGTCATTTGGGGCATTAGTGTTGAACTTGCTTCTGCCCTAAGTTGCTGCAGCTAGTCCCCACACTTGCCAACATTAATTCTTTAGGTCTGTACATTAGCCAGAGCAGCACCATTTTGCAAAACTCCTCTGTTTCATCTGAACTATGAGAATTCTGGTTGAATGCAGTAATCTTGTTTCTTAAAGTTTTAAGTTTCTCAAGCTTTTTAACTTCCTTGACCCATCAACCCCCAGTAACAGCTGACTAGGAAAGATGTTTATTGATCATCTAACATTCTTTGACTACTCCTTGCTTACCCTAGCAATGGCTAACTGTGGGCCAAAGAAGGAACTTTGCAATCTACTTTACCTCTTGGTTCCTGTAAAATGTATGCAAATGTCCCCTGATGCTGCTACGTGGATCTGTACTCACTTGGGAGCACAGTCTCGCTATTGCTCCCGTCTGTACCATTCAAACACTTGTAATAAATCTGCTCCCAAAGAACTATCTGCCTCACTGTCCCCTGTACCTCAGACCTGAAAACTTTCCCTGTAGTCAGTTATCAAATGTGTCAATCTTCTCCATATCTCTTCCTTTATTTCCATATCTTTGTAAAGAATCTGGTTTTTTTCCTGCTACTTTGGTCTATCCAGAGTATCTTACAGACATTTTCAACTTCTTTTGCAACTTTCAGATCCATCAACTGTACTCCCTTCTTTTCATGTTTATTGCACATATGGGAAAAAGCCACATGTCTGATAGTCCTGCCAAAAATCTCACATTATAACCACAACACTGTCTTATTAAGACAGTAAAAGCTAGGGTAAGATTATTATAGAAAGGGACACTAAGAATAGTTTCCATTTTCTAAAGCATTTAAAGTGGGTTAGGCTGACACAAAGAGTATTTTTATTAAGTTTCACTGTGGGAAGAAAGGTTTTCTTTTGGCAGATATTGGAAATTATAGTGTTTAGAATTGTACCCTTGTTTGCTCTTGCCACTAGCATGCTCAGCACCAAATGTGACATTCAAAGACTGTAATTACAAAAACTCTAATTGCTTCCTTTCTTTTGTCTGGCCCTGACTTTATGTACTCATTTCAAATAGATAGATATTATTATAATGCTGTGTTTAAGCTTTGGAGAGTGGCATAGCGTTTAAACAATAGACAAAGATTTTTAGATGAGTTGTAACAATATGAAAGACTTATCAAGCTTGAACTTGGGAGTGGTATTCAAGAGTACTACATACTATCGTATTAGATATGACACTTGAAATACTGGAATTTGGCCCATGAGATTACCAGGTATCTGTTACCATGAGAACAGTAAAAAGAATGATGACATTAGAGCTCCTTCATAATATGGGCTTTATGGAGAATATAAAGTATTTCATGAATCTGAGTTTTGTGGGGGTAGAGAATTAATTCCTAAAGATAAAGAATATTTAGGTGAATATTTACCATGAGTTCAGCATTTAGGGGGAAGGGATTTGTTCTTAGTAATTGTTTAAAGATGTGTTCCTATGTGGTTCCTTGAAAGCTCTTGCTGTCCTGCCATTGTTCATTTGAATATCAACAAGGCTGTTGCTTGCCTTTGTGGCATTAACTGCACCGATTCTGAATGCAAAATCCACTCGAGGATCTATATTAGGTTAATGCTGACAGGAATATGAGCAAGAAAATGCATTAGAGTCCTGGTTCTAAATCTAATTCTGGATTATGGGGGGAAGTGTGTGTTTAGTAAAGGATCAGAGGTTTTCCATTACTATACGAGTAAAGTATATGTTGTGGACCTAAAGAACAGGGAAAATGTTTCAGAAAGTAGCATGCAAGACAAACAGATAGTACTCAGAGTGAGTAATTTTCATTCAGAGCATAGTGACCAAACAGAAAAGTAATTTGACATGATCTTATACTATAAATAAGTAAGCAACATTATTCATTTAACCTAAAGTAGAAGAAATATCCACAGGGATGCTATTAATATCATGATTTGTGAGGTATATAGAAAGAAACAATCTGGCTCTGGGACATAACTTGGGATTCTAAGATGCAGAAACTTACTAGACCCATGTTGGTCCCTCCATTTGTCACCTATCAATTGCTACTACTCAACAGGCCCCAGGCCATTTGGTACATAAATAGCAACTACCCGGAATAGTAGATGATACTAAGTAGAAATGCAAAAAAGGCAATTTTATTTGTCACTAGTACAGTGAGTAATCACTGTGGATATATCATTGGTCTTGACTACTAAAGTCAGGAAAATCTATAGACAGTACAGGGAAGCATGTTTTGGCTTGTTCAAACAATATGAAATGTATACTGTGAAAAAGAAGTTGTACTTTCTCTTAGGATGTTTTAGTTTCCCAATCTTAGAAATATCTAACCCAAGCTTTCTGATCTCAAGATAAATTAAGAAGCCTCAGAGACAGCCCCTATTTTGAGAATTTTGACAAGGACAATTTGAACCTTCTTACAGAATTTGGAGCTGGAAGAAACGAGAAAAGGTTGGAAATGGGGAAGCGAAAGCAAAATGGGAGGTGACATGTCTCAGCAAGTGAAAGTGCTGCTGTGCAAACCTGAAACCTGATTTTGTTCACTGGTATACGTGACATAAAGAGAGAATCAACTCCCAAAATTTGGCCTCTGACCTCTGTACATACACCATGGCATGCCAGAATGTACACACACACACACACACACACACACACACGCATGCACGCACATACACACACACATTTATAAACAATAGTAATACATAAAAATAAAAAACTAAAACCGTAGAAGGAGCCAACAGAAAATCCATCTGGTACCAAGAAAGGAACAAACACATGAAGGGAGATAGATAAAGGAAAGCTTTCATTAAATTTTCATCCCAAAGTCAAGTAAGGAAGAATAGCAATCCAACATTAGGGGAAAAGGAAATTTCCTAAAACAAGCATCATGTGGTGAGAAAACAATCACCTTAAACAGAGGAGGCACCAGTTTAAGGAACTCTGATAGTTCAGAAAACCTCCAGAATATTGTACTTTGGCTTTACTCTCCTATTACCAGTTGGCTGGGGAATGTAGCTCTATTCAGATGCAAGTCATGAACAAGCAAGGCCCAGTTCCCTTGTTGTTAGATAGCAACTGAGACTTAAGGGCAAGAAGCACAGTGCTCAGTAGCTAATGTTAGCAGCTCTGTCAAACATCTTTGGTGGCCAATGGTGACTCTTTAGAGCCCTTCCAGCAGCCAGGCCAGATATTCCTTGATTGTCTTCTGCTGTCTGCTCGTCTTCTTTTCTGAATTTCTTTTTATCTCTCCACAACCTTTTGTCTTCTCTGTTCTTTCAGTTCTGTGATGCTCCTTCTTGTCTTACCTGTATTTCCACAATCCTGTGCAGCATTCATTCTTACTCTCCATTCCTGACCACTCTGAAACTCTTCAATTATCTTTTAGCTGTTTGGTAGGCCAGAGCCTAGTACTCTGAAGAGTTGGGAATGTCTGACCTTCTGTTACCAATACAGCCCACTCTATCCACAATAAGCACAAGACAATAATACCACTCTAAGAAGTTTATAGGGACCCAGAACCAGGGGAGACAGTGCACAGGTGGGAGTTCTCCTGCCTTTTATAGTTCAAGAAACTTAATTTCTTAGGTTTAAAAGTAAAGACAGAAATGCTCCAGTAGTCCTTTATTTCTCACCACAATGCCTATGGCCCTTCCCTCAGGAGTTTGATTTCCAGGAGTAGGGTGTGTGAATTGATCATGATCTTTATATGAAATTTTTAATTCAGATTCTCATTATTATTCTTGGTTTCCCTCTGGGTGAGAGCATTCAGATTTTCTAAGATTAATTTAGCACAGAAGAATATCTGTCAACTATGGTATATAAGAATTCTGGATGAAAATAATATTTCTTCAACAAAGAAATACCAATGACATATATATGTACACCTGTATCTCTCAAATGGGC